GAGGCAGAGGCCGCGATCATGGTCGTGTCGTGATTCAGGGGGAGGACGTGGCTCCTTTGGTGGGAGGCAACGTGAATCTGATAAGGGCTCACGACAGTGTGATCACTGTTGGAGAACCAATCATATTTCTGAAAAGTACTGGGAGAAGTTTGGTCGTCTTCAGTGGGCTCAGTTAGCTAATACCGAGTCGACTCACTCATCTATTTTTGCTACTACTTCTGATGGTCCAGCTGTTACTGCTCTTACTATTAGGATTTCTCAGGCAGATTATGAGAGGTTACGACAGCTAGAACTCTCTCAGAACATTCATTCCGCTACTCATGCATCCTCTTCAGGTATGGATGCTTACATAGCTTCTTCTCACAAACCCTAGGTACTAGATTCTGGAGCCTCATCTCATATGACAGGTATAAAGGATTATTTTGTATCTTTACATCTTTCTGATAAGTTTTCTTCTATCCGCATTGCTGATGGTACTCTTTCTTCAGTTCATGGTGATGGAGTAGTTCATGCTACTTCCTCTTTAAAACTAACTGATGTGTTATATGTTCCTAAATTTTCTGTTAGCCTATTATCCATTAGCAAGTATACAAAACAAAATAACTGTAAAGTCACCTTCTTTCCATCTTATTGTGTTTTTCAGGACCTAGCAACTGGGATAAAAATTGGTTCGGGGCATGAGAGAGGAGGTATATACTATTTGGACGACAGTGTGCCAGAGGCTGGTCTTGTTGCATCACAATCTTACTCTACGTTATTATGGCACTAGCGTCTAGGTCATCCTTCACTACAAAAACTAAGATCGGTAATTTCTGTTCAGTCATCTATTTCCTCTTTAGGTTGTGAGTCTTGTGAACTGGGTAAGCATCATCGTGCTACTTTTCAGAATCGAGTCGATAAATGTAGTAGCTTTGCTTTTGAGTTGGTTCATTCTGATGTCTGGGGTCCTCTGGGGTCCTTATCGTGTTCCCTCTGTGAAAGGTTTTCGATATTTTATTATCTTTGTTGATGATTTCTCTCGCATGACGTGGTTTTATCTGTTAAAAGAGAGGTCAGAAGTCTCGCACGTTATTGAACTCTTTTATAATGAAATAAAAACTCAGTTCTCTACTTCTGTCCGTATTCTTCGTACTGATAATATTTTGGAATATATGAAATGTGATGTTTTAAAATTTTGTGCTCTTAATGGCATTATTCATCAGACTTTTTGCACTCACACTTCACAACAAAATGGACTTGCTGAGAGGAAGCATAGGCATATTCTAGATGTTCCTAGAACACTGATGATACATATGAATATTCCAAAGTATTTGTGGTCTGATGTTGTTCTCACTGTAAATTATTTGATTAATCGCATGCCTTCCTCTGTCCTTGATGGTTTAATACCATTCAATTGTCTTTATCCTGATAAAAAACAATTCTCTATGATTCCCCGTGTCTTTGGTTCTACGTGTTTTGTTCAGGATTTAACTGCTGGTTTGGATAAGTTGTCTTCTAGATCCATCAAATGTGTTTTTGTTGGATACTCTCGTAATCAAAAAGGGTATAGGTGTTACCATCCGTCCATCAGGAAATATTTTGTCTGCTGATATTACCTTTTTGAAGTATGTCCCCTATTTTTCGTCTAGTTCCACTACTATTGGCTGTCCACAGGTACCACTGCCTTCTTCTGCTCCTACTACTATTTTCCATTACCTGCTCCTGTAGCTCCTGCACCGAAGTCTCTACTGACATACTCTCGCCACCCAAAAGTACATGCCCCTGAATCTACTGGTCCATCTCATGTTGAGACCTCTATTTCTTCTGACTTGGATATCCCTATTGCTCTTCGAAAAGATAAACGGTCTTGTCCGAAATATCCTACATCTCTTTTTGTCTCTTATGACTGTCTCAACCCATCTTTTCGTCAGTTTGCTTTGTCATTGTCCACTGTATCTATACCCAGGTCACATGAAGAAGCTATGTTAGTACCAGTTTGGAAGCAGGCTATGAATGAGGAAATGAATGCACTACTTTCTAGAGGGACTTGGGACTTGGTTTCTCTTCCTACTGGAGCGACTGTGGTTGGTTATAGATGGGTGTACACCTTGAAATATCGTCCCGATGGGTCTGTTGATTGTTATAAAGCTCGCCTGGTTGCTAAAGGTTATACCCAGACATATGGCGTCGACTATTTTAAAACATTTTCTCCCATTACTCGTCTCAACTCCATCAGAATTCTTTTCTCTCTGGGTGTTAATATGGATTGGGCGATGCACCAACTAGATGTGAAGAATGCTTTCCTTTATGATGACTTGGACGAGGAGGTTTATATGGAGCAACCTCCTGGGTATGTTGGTCATTAGGGAATATTATCTGCAAGCTGAGAAAGACCATCTATGGGTTAAAGTAGAGTCCTCCAGCTTGGTTTGATAAGTTCAGCAATGTTATTTCTAATGTTGGTTTCCAACGCTGTCAGTCTGATCACTGTCTTTCTTCAACGCACAACTGGTTTGGTTATTTTAGTTGTATATATTGATGATATTCTGCTGACTGGGAGTGACTCTGTTGCCTTAGCTGAGAGTAAGGAGTATCTAAACCGTCATTTTGTCACTAAGGACATGCGAAAGCCAAAGTATTTTCTTGGGATTGAAGTCGCATATCAAAAGCATGGTCTGTTGTTATCCCAAAGAAAGTATGTGCTAGATTTACTAGAAGAAGCAGGTCTCTTGGAATGCAAACCTACAAGCACTCCAATGGAAGCAAATGTTGATTTGTGGTGTGATGATACATCTCTACTAGAGGATGCTGGACGATATAGGAGACTAATTGGGAAGCTTATATATTTGACAGTTATCAGACCTGATATTACTTTTACAGTAGGTGTACTGAGCAGGTTTATGCACAAACCTAGAGAGGTTCATTGGACAACAGCTCTGAAGATTTTGACATATGTCAAGAGTTGTCCTGACAAAGGATTGTTATATAAGAAGCATGAGCATACTCATATTTCGGCTTTCTCTGATGCTGGCTACGCAGGAGACATGGGAGACTGAAAGTCAACCTCAGGATTTTGTACTTTTGTTGGAGGTAATCTTGTGACTTGGAGATGCAAGAAACAAGATGTAGTATCACGATCTAGTGCAAAGGCCGAATATAGAACAATGACTCACACTGCTTGTGAGATGGTATGGCTACGAAAGTTTATAACAGAGCTTGGTTTTGTTCAGACTGGACCCATGTTAATACATTGTGACAATCAGTCTGCCATTTATATTGCACAGAATCATGTGTTTCATGAGAGGACAAAACATACTGAAGTTGACTGTAATTTTGTCAGAGATGCTTGGGAGAAGAAGATAGTATCTCTCATATTCACTCCGTACTCACAGCAACTTGCTGATATTCTTACCAAGGCTACTTCTTCAAATGTGTTCTTTGCTATATGTGACAAGCTGGGTATGATAGATATCTATGTTCCAGCTTGAGGGGGAGTATTAAATTAAGTATTGGGTATTAGGTTAATGGGCTGTTACCCGTTAACCTTAACCCTATTTATATGGCTATATATATATATCTCTTGTTATCTCAATAAGCAACAATTGGGATTCTCTCTATTTTCTACAAATACAATTTAAAAAAACCACACGTGATTCCCACATGAGATCTGAGATCTCAGTACACAGTTTCAGAAATACACATAGAAAAACATGTGTAGCAACAAATGCAAGAAAATACAAGTGATGTGCACAGTTCAACTTGACAAGCACACAGCACTTAAATGACAACAAACAAGCTACATAGCCCGGAACTGCGAGAATTTTACTCGTACGGCTTGAGCCCTCGGGCTTGAGAATGTAGCTTGCAACATGCATTTTGCATTGCGAAAGCCTGCAATGCCCAAGCTACATGGCTGTTCTGCTGCAGGGTATGTGGCAAGCAGCACTGTTATTCTAGGGAAACATGTCATAGCTCTGCATCCAAATATCGGGTATCTTCTCCTAGCACAACACTAGTGTTTGATCTCCTTTCAGTTCATCCAAAAATGTCAAATCCAGACAATTTCCACTAAAAATTAACGATTATTCAATTATTTTTCAAGATCACAATGAACATGAAGATCATAGTTTCAATTAGGACTCAAAATCATAATTCCAAATAAAAATCCACATAAACATATAGATCATCAAATCAACTGGCAATTAATGGATATGGGTCTTATGTATTTTACAAATGAACCAAAGATAGTAAATCATGTGGCTTAATCATAAAACTTGATTACACATGGTTTTGGATCTAATCCATCATAATGGAATTCAAAATTGTGTTTCTTATCTAACTCTAGTAGGTTCTAGATCTATATTCATGCAAAACATAAATCTATATATTGGGAAAAGAACATAGTCACAACAAGGAGCAGGGCCGACCCAATCTGAACCCAATATTCTAGCCATCTGCAATTTAAATCAGCATATTTTATAACAAACTTAAATAAATATATTTTTTTTCCTAGAGAAAACTAAGTTCAGTATGAAACTTCCAAATTAGAACATTCATGATTATAAGGGCACATATTATTTTTTTGTGAAGGTGCAAGAAAACAGCTGAAATCAAGTACGCTATAAAGAATATCAATTATTTAGTTGAAATATCAAAAATGAGATCTTCATACTGTAAATCCAGTATAATAAGGAATAAGACACCACTAGATTAGATAAAGATAGAAGCTATAACCAAATAGAAACATCTCTATGCTCAATGATATTTCACCAAGTAGAAAAAAAAGTCAACCAATTAATAAAAACCATTAACTAATTTTTACATAATTATTGATAAGTAAACATTTAGTTGTCTGTTTCATTATTTACACGACGTTCCTATAATTATAGACAACAGACAACAGCAAAGACAACATTCAACAAATAAAATTTATGCTAATATCAAAGAGATTCTACATGCTAAAGAGTATCCGAACTACTGATAGCAAATTAAAAAGGAAAATAAAAGTGAAAAGTACCAACCTCAGGCCTTTCTGGCACATGACAATTAGATCAGTATCCTTTGGAAACATCTCCTCAACCTTTGATATGAAATTCCTGTAATACTGCAATGAATGCGCAACATTCTAATTGCAAAAGGTTCAATTATAAGTGCATTAACATACTTGTCATAAGATAATGTAGGACTGCCACTCCACCAGCCTCCTGCACAGATATAATGAAAAGATTATTCCTTTCTGCAAAACATCAAGATGATTTTATGAAAAAGTTCGGAAATAGAAGAAGCACACTATGCTTCCTCAAACCTTGAAATATTTGTCAAAATAGCATGATGAAAAAGTTCAAGTAAAATAAAACTGCATGATTCATGTATGCTTCACATTTCTAATATATTCAACAATGCAACAATATTAAATATGTTATGATTAATTTAAAGGATAACTATTTGTACTTTTATGGTTTACTGAAATCAATGGAACAGCTTCACAGTCGACATAACAAGTACCCATGCTACATAGCTAACAGCATATGAGGTATCTGATCTCGTAACTCTCCTCTAATGAGTTTATATTAACCTGCATATAAGAACTTGTGTACTGTCAAGTATTCCCTCTACCTTTACAACTCACAACATTCAGCCCTTCATACACTTCATAAATCTTCAAAGTACTTTGAGATCTCTCTCTCTCTCTCTCTCTCTCTCTCTCTCTCTCTGTACACTTCATAAATCTTCAAAGTACTTTGAGATCTCTCTCTCTCTCTCTCTCTCTCTCTCCTCTCTCTCTCTCTCTCTCTCTCTCTCTCTCTCTCTCTCTCTCTCTCTCTCTCTCTCTCTCTCTTCTCCCTTGGGTCAAGAACTCCTCTGACAAGTTATACATCTGATTTAGATTACTTGAATAAAGTAGTTACACATACTCAGAATTTATTACATGAATCAGGAAGAGGACATATGAAAACAATCTGCCGCTCCATAGAGTTTCACATCAAGGAAACAAACTCCATCTATATATCTTGCTTCTTATAGTATTCTCACATATAGATTCATATTCTGCGCTGCACAAGAAGACACCATTACAAACAATTACCCTCACCAAACTTATGCATAATAATTTAAGATTTTAATGACTCTTCCTGAATCCTTCTAAAGTTCTCTGTGTCCATACCTTTGACATCACAAGAATAAAATGCCACCAAGAAACATAACTAACACAGTTACACAAAACAATACATCACCCAATAGGCTGCCATTACTCCAGTCATAAATTATCTCATCAATTAATTTTCACACTACTAAAAAAATAATGTACTTTTTTTCATTGTTTTGGGTGTTGAACAGAAATGAAATGTTATATTTGATCTCAACAACATTTTTTTGCAAGATTTGATCTCAACCAACATTTTTTGCAAGGCATACCAAGATTTATAGGAGAAGCGATGCAAGAAGAAGATGGAACGAAATAGGTGGGAGACAGTGAAGAATATCGTGTGTTGGAAGAATGCGGGGAGAAGGCAGAGGACAAATATGACAACCACCGAAAGGTGGCAAGGAAGATGACGACGAGGGTAACAGTGTTTGAATTTCTGCAATGGCAATGTCAGGGAGGTGCTGATGCAACTAATTGACAGGTGGATGCAAAATCAGATGAGGGAAAGGTACTAAAAGCTAAGTTTGACATTGATGATTGAATTGATATGCAGCAGCAAGAACTCCTACAACAACGATGTTAAATTAAGTATTGGGTATTGGGTTAATGGGCTATTACCCGTTAACCTTAACCCTATTTGTATGACTATATATATCTCTCTTATTATCTCAATAAACAAATTTAGGGTTTTCTCTATTCTCTACATGGTATCAGAGCAAGAAACCCTAGCCGCCACAAATCCCTTCCTAATTTCTCTATTCTCTACATGGTATCAGAGCAAGAAACCCTAGCCGCCACAAATCCCTTCCTAAAACCGCCGCCTCTTCACCACTACTAGCCACCGCCCCCCTCCCCTTCTGCCACACCCACTGCCGCGTCGCACCCTCCTACAGCGCGTTGCCTATTCCCACGACATCTCTGTCTTCGAACTGATGAGAGGACGATTGTATCCCTCGATATTTCAGTCATAGAACTGATGAGAGGAAGAGTGTCTATCTCACGTTGTTGAGATATTTTACTTTTATTCTTGTTTCATTCGAGAAACAAGAATATAAAAATTGAGCCTTTGTGCAAACAAAAGCCAGGGCTCTCTCCCTCAGGTGATCTCGCCTACGCGGCGTGAGGACATGACTATCTACCACTCTACCTCTAATCCTGCTCCTGATCGGCTCTTAGTTTATGTTTCAAGAACGGATCTCTATTACTAATTTGTCTATTTGACTACTATATGTCTCCTATTATTGCTCAAAAATATAAAAAAAATGACTACTACTTCGATGTCGGACATCTCCTCCTCTACTACTCCTTCTATTATTGCTGGTGAGACCTCTGAGCCCAAGGTAGTCTTGGGGACTACTATTAAATTGAATGGTGCAAACTATCGGCTCTGGGTCGCATCTTCATTGGCGCTCAGAGCAAACTACCACATCTTCTGGCATCTCCACCACCAACCTTAGATCTCACCTACAATTCATGGCTCTCATCTGATTATTGTGTTATGGCTTGGCTTCTCAACAGTATGGAAGCACAGATCAGTAGCAGCGTTATGTTTTTAACCACTGCGAAGGAGATGTGGGACAGCCTAAAGATTATGTACGGGAACGAGAAGAATGTTTCCCGTGTATTTGAAATTTATAAGCGACTGTTTGCACTCAAACAAGGAGATAAGTCAGTTTCGAAATTCTTTGGTGAATTGAAGGGACTGATAGACGAACTAGAGATGCATCAGTCTGTAGTAGCTGATGCAGCGACGCTATTGGGGTATCGCCGAGATCAGGTAGTGTCCAAATTTCTTTATGGATTGCATCCTACTTTACAGTCCCAGGTGAGAGGACAGATATTAGGGATGATACAATTCCCTCACTGACTGCTACATTCTCTAGAGTCATGCAGGTCTCTACTGGTGTTATTTCTGATACTACTGCACCAGCTCCACCTACAATGGATCAGTTTACCATGTTCTCTGGTCTGGGCAGAGGTCGCGGTCGTGATCGTGGTCGTGTCCGTGATTCAGGGAGAGGACGTGGCTCCTTTGGTGAGAGGCCAGGTGAATCTGATAAGGGCTCACGTCATTGTGGTCACTGTGCGAGAACCAATCATATTTTTGAGAAGTGCTGGGAAAAGTTTGGTCGTCCTCAGTGAGCCCAGGTAGCTGATACCGAATCGACACACTCATCTATTTCTGCTACTACTTCTAGTGGTCCAATTGTTACTGCTCCTACTGTTCAGATTTCTCAGACAGATTATGAGAGGTTACACGAGCTAGAACTCTCTCAGAACATTCATTCTGCTACTCATGCATCCTCTTCAGGTATGGATGCTTACATAGCTTCTTCTCACAAACCCTGGGTACTAGATTCTGGAACCTCATCTCATATGACAGGTATAAAGGATCACTTTGTATCTTTATATCTTTCTGATAAGTTTTCTTCTATCCGCATTGCTGATGGTACTTTTTCTCCAGTTCGTGGTGATGGAGTAGTTCATGCTACTTCCTCTTTAAAACTAACTGATGTGTTATATGTTCCCAAATTTTCTGTTAGCCTATTATCCATTAGCAAGTTTACAAAACAAAATAACTGTAAAATCACCTTCTTTCCATCTTATTGTGTTTTTCAGGACCAAGCAACTGGGATGAAAATTGGTTCGGGGCATGAGAGAGGAGGTATATACTATTTGGACGACAGTGTGCCAGAGGATGGTCTTGTTGCATCACAATCTAACTCTACGTTATTATGGCACTAGCGTCTAGGTCATCCTTCACTACAAAAACTAAGATCGGTAGTTTCTGTTCAGTCATCTATTTCCTCTTTAGGTTGTGAGTCTTGTGAACTGGGTAAGCATCATCGTGCTACTTTTCAGAGTCGAGTCGATAAACGTAATAGCTTTGCTTTTGAGTTGGTTCATTCTGATGTCTGGGGTCCTCTGGGGTCCTTATCGTGTTCCCTCTGTGAAAGGTTTTCGATATTTTATTATCTTTGTTGATGATTTCTCTCGCATGACGTGGCTTTATCTGTTAAAAGAGAGGTCAGAAGTCTCGCACGTTATTGAACTCTTTTATAATAAAATAAAAACTCAGTTCTCTACTTCTGTCCGTATTCTTCGTACTGATAATGTTTTGGAATATATGAAATGTGATGTTTTAAAATTTTATGCTCTTAATGGTATTATTCATCAGACTTCTTGCTCTCACACTTCACAACAAAATGGAGTTGCTGAGAGGAAGCATAGGCATATTCTAGATGTTCCTAGAACACTGATGATACATATGAATATTCCAAAGTATTTGTGGTCTGATGTTGTTCTCACTGTAAATTATTTGATTAATCGCATGCCTTCCTCTGTCCTTGATGGTTTAATACCATTCAATTATCTTTATCCTAATAAAAAACAATTCTCTATGATTCCCCGTGTCTTTGGTTCTACGTGTTTTGTTCAGGATTTAACTGCTGGTTTGGATAAGTTGTCTTCTAGATCCATCAAATGTGTTTTTGTTGGATACTCTCGTAATCAAAAAGGGTATAGGTATTATCATCTGTCTACCAGGAAATATTTTGTCTGCTGATGTCAGCTTTTTTGAGTCTGTCCCTTATTTTTCGTCTGCTTCCACTACTATTGGGTGTCCAGAGGTACCACTATCTTCCTCTACTCCTACTACTATTCCATTACCTGCTCATGTAGCTCCTGCACCGAAGCCTCTACTGACATACTCTCGCCGCCCGAAAGTACAATCTTCATCTCCAGCTGTCGGTCCATCTCATGTTAAAACCTCTATTCCTTCTGACTTGGATATCCCTATTGCTCTTCGAAAAGGTAAACGGTCTTGCCCGAAATATCCTATCTTTTTTTTGTCTTTTATGACCATCTCAACCCATCTTTTCGCCAGTTTGCTTTGTCCTTGTCCACTGTATCTATACCCAGGTCACATGAGGAAGCTATGTTAGTACTAGCTTGGAAGCAGGCTATGGATGAGGAAATGAATACACTACTTTCTAGAGGGACTTGGGACTTGGTTTCTCTTCCTACTGGAGCGACTGTGGTTGGTTACAGATGGGTGTACACCTTAAAATATCGTCCCGATGGGTCTGTTGATCGTTATAAAGCTCGCCTAGTTGCTAATGGTTATACCCAGACATATGGCGTCGACTATTTTGAAACATTTTCTCCTGTTGCTCGTCTCAACTCCATCAGAATTCTTTTCTCTCTGGCTATTAATATGGATTGGGCGATGCACCAACTAGATGTGAAGAATGCTTTTTTTTATGATGATTTAGATGAGGTTTATATGGAGCAACCTCCTGGGTATGTTGCTCAGGGGGAGAATATTATCTGCAGACTGAGAAACGCCATCTATGGGTTAAAGCAGAGTCCTCGAGCTTGGTTTGATAAGTTCAGTAAGGTTATTTCTAATGTTGGTTTCCAACGTTGTCAGTCTGATCATTCTGTCTTTCTTCGACGCACAATAACTGGTTTGGTTATTTTAGCCGTATATGTTGATGATATTTTGCTGACTGTGAGTAACTCTGTTGTCTTAGCTGAGACTAAGGAGTATCTAAACCGACATTTTGTTAAGGACATGGGAAAGCCAAAGTATTTTCTTGGATTGAAGTTGCATATCAAAAGCATGGTCTGTTATTGTCCCAAAGGAAGTATGTGCTAGATTTACTAGAAGAAACAGGTATCTTAGAATGCAAACTTGCAAGCACTCCAATGGAGGTAAATGCTGATTTGTGGCGTGATGATACCTCTCTACTAGATGATGTTGGACAATATAGGAGACTAATTGGGAAGCTAATATATTTGACAGTTACCAGACCTGATATTACTTTTGCAGTAGGTATACTGAGCAGGTTTATGCACAAACCTAGAAGGTTCATTGGACAGAAACTCTAAAAATTTTGGCATATGTCAAGAGTTGTCCTGGCAATGGATTGCTATATAAAAAGCATGGACATACTCACATTTCGGTTTTCTCTAATGCTGACTACGCATGAGACATAGGAGACCGAAAGTCAACCTCAGAATTCTATACTTTTGTTGGAGATAATTTTGTGACTTGGAGAAGGAAGAAACAAGATGTAGTATCACGATCTAGTGCAGAGGCCGAATATAGAGCAATGGCTCGCACTGCTTGTGAGATGGTGTGGCTACAAAAGTTTATGACAGAGCTTGGTTTTGTTCAGTCTGGACCCATACCAATGCATTGTGACAACCAGTCTATCATTTATATTGCACAGAATCATGTATTTCATGAGAGGACAAAACATATTAAAGTTGACTATAATTTTGTTAGAGATACTTGAAAGAAGAAGATAGTATCTCTCATATTCACTCCGTCCTCACAGCAACTTGCTAATATTTTTACCAAGGCTACTTCTTCAAAGGTGTTCTCTACTATATGTGACAAGCTGGGCATGATAGATATCTATGCTCCAGCTTGAGGGGGAGTATTAAATTAATTATTGGGTATTGAGTTAATGGGCTATTACCCATTAACCTTAACCCTATTTGTATGGCTGTATATATCTCTCTTATTATCTCAATAAACAAATTTAGGGTTTTCTCTATTCTCTACAAACGACATTGAAATCAATGAGGATCAGATGAGAGAATGCTTAGGATTAGGACCTAGACTTATAAGGATTCTGATACCATGTTAACATGATAATAGATCCTAAAAGCTAAGAGATGTGTACATTTATCTCATATAAATATTCATATAAATATATTCATTCAGTTGTTATTCATAAATGAAAGGACATAATTAGATACAACAATCCATAAGACAATCAGTTTATCAAAAGAAGCATAACATACTTCATCAGGTCATCTTATGCATAATTTGAGGTTAATCAAGCTATACCTGTTTGCTAGTGAGAGAGTACTTTGGGGGAGGGAAACGGTTATGGCAAGTTGGATTCCTCTGCCTACGGACTTTGTGAAATTGAATATCGAGGAGCTGCTAAAAAGAATCCTCAAGGAGCTGGTGGGAGAGGGCTTTTTAAAGACTCAAATGGAGAATAGATTTTTGGTATTTATCTCAATTTTGGGTACTGTAACAATGTGATTGCTGAACTCTCTTCGCTTTGGTTTGGTCGTCAACTAGCATGGGATTGTGGCTGGAAATTCATTATCTGTGAAACCAATGTTGCTGCTATTATTTCATCGATCCAAACTGCAGATACAAGACTACATCCCCTAGCTTCTACACTAGGCAAGTTTCGCGAACTCCTTCAAAGGAATTGGACTGTCCTCATCAGGCACACATACTGCGAAGCTAATTGGTGCACCGATGCAATGGCGAATATGGAGTTGATGCGATGGAGACCTCCATTGTGCTTATGCACCCCCTGCTGCATTATGTGCTCTACTGTTAGAAGATAGAATTGGATCAGCCTTACCTCGCACTGTTGGCAGAGAGTAGGCTGCTGTTTGTTTTTCCATGTTTTTGTTCTTCTAGTTCTATTCCGATGCACCCAAAAAAAAAGTGTCACAGCAACTTTCAATACGGGGACATTTCTGAAAAAGTTTCTTAAGAGAACTGGACAAGTTTACATTTCGAGCTGTCAATATACTAAGCTCCTGGCTAAGGAAGAGGACCACCATTAGAATGTTAACAAAAAATGGTGAGAAGTTGGACACACCTTCCTAGGTCAAGCAGTTCTAGCTCATACAACAAATAAGCGTCATGTTCCACTAGATTTGGGAAACATCTAGATGAAAGGTAATATGATTAAAGATGACCATATTGGATTACTCTTCCACTTTACATGACCCACTTGCATCGCAATACAACCATCTCAGAAGATCTCAGCCAAGTTGATATGTTGTAGACTCGAGTCTTAAGGGAGGAGAATTGATCAGTTAGAGGCAAGCTTGATAATTGGAAGTAGTGCCATCAAGTTCACCAAGGGAAGAGAGTGAAAAACAAGCGAGTGGGATTCATCACACAACAGAAAGTACACGATCATATTTTCACCCTCTTTCCATGTTTATTATACCTTACAGCTTTGCAGTCAATGTAGCAACTAGAACTCCCTTGGTATAATTAATGTTTATAATTATGCTACCTTGATACAAGTTCTATCGTCAATCTTTGAGCACTCCGCCACTTCAAGGACCTCTCCAGCCTTTGGAGCACTCAGCCAATGTTTGCAAGTGCCAGGCAGCACATTGGTAAACCCTTGGTGCAAAGGGCAAAGGGTTATGCTCACACCTAAATAAGGCCTACTCTCCGAAAAAGGATAAAGAAGAAAAGCTACCGATGTCATCAACAATGATCAGTCTACTTTCTGCAAGATAGTGGAGGGCTCTATTACCAAGTTTGTACTTGGAACGAGGGGCAAAGCCATCTGCCCAACCTGAGACTTTGAATGCCTTTGGTGCCTTGGTGGCTCCTTCTAGACCATAACCCCATTGTTTTCAAAGGTATAAGAAAATTAAGGCCAGTTAAGGAAAGCTTGTGTACTCCCTGGTCAGTGGTCCCTACATGTTCCATACAGTAACTGTATCTGTTAGCAATGAACAACCATTACAAAATTCTCATATAACCAATTATGCTTCTAGATGAGTATTTTCCCTAATCAATATATAACAAACTATCAATGCACCTGGGGCATCATGATGATGTAAATAATCGCTGCTACATGTTAGAAAAGAGTAACACAGAGTGACAAGAAACCTATAAAAGGCAAACAAGTAAAATAAAATGGAATTTCATCTACTAATACCCATTACAAAATTTGTGGTCCTTCTGGAAAGGGCTCCAACATCAGCTGACTTTTCTATATCAAAAATTGGCACCCAAGCAGAGCCTTTAACCTTCGCCTACAGTGAGGTTTATGCAAAGGTTTATAACATAAGTATGAACGAAGGGAAGACAAATTCAACATTGAACACAGAATATAAATAAACAGAATGCTCATGACATAACACTAACCTTGTTATACTCAGTTGATGGGCGCACGTCAAGCAGACTTTTATTAGAAAGTTGAATGGCATAACCAGCTTCTTTTGGTGTTAGGACCTTAATCTTTTGTTCCCTAATCGATGAACGTTGCAAAAAAATGCCTAAAAATATTTAATGAGAAATTAGATGATTCATGGTGTCATTCAAGTAAAGTGCCAGCTATATTACAAGAAATTAACATGAATCGTCTAGGAATTTATGAAAACTATGATCAAGTATAACTGCAGTGTCCCTTCATGGCTTCAAATCTGTAGCCACTGGAAAGGAAATTTTGGAAGGAGAACTTAGAAAAAAGTAGGAGTAAAATAAGTTGTGTTACCTTTTAAGCATATTCACCATTTAAAGAAGACATGGTAACCAGAGCAACTAATTTCAGTATTAGCTTTTTTGCAATCTAGTTCGATGACTCGACCATTAAAGTTATGATCAAAATTTTTACACGTCATATTTACTACGATGGACAGATACATTAGCTCATGAGGGGTTAATTAACCTTTGATAATTAGAATGTCTTATCTCAATCCTAGAACAACCTCAATGTGAGACCTGTCTCTCATGTTGACCTCAAGTGTCCACAACAATTATCTTTGGACTTTTTCTTGCTAATTTCAATATTTGAGTCCTAGTTGATCTTATAGTTCTTTCTCTACTATGACATTAAATTTGCACAACCTTAAGGTTAGAAGAAGTAGCCTTTGAATGTGCCTTATATGCTTGGATTAAGGTAGTTGTTAGACTTGATTCAAATTCTTGGAATTGTTTTCTTCCTAACAGAACAGGTGCTGAAACTTCTACTAATGGTGCAATGCTTCTATGTCCCTTTTGTTGGGTGTAAACGGACCCAACCTGGAGTTAATGAGCCTTAAATAGAGACAAGAAACCAATTTTAATTCCAAAGCTTATGCTTGTAGGTATTGGCCCCAACTTATATTTAAACTCATCACTTTTTCTTATCATTTCCAATAGTAGACTATACTCACACATGAATATCCCTACAATTTCCATTTCATTTGGGAGTATAGTTCAATCTTCCATGGGATTCAATAACTTGGTCTGAACCGACAACCATGGGAGGCAACACGGCTACATAACATCCACAGGATATTCTACCACTTGTAGGCTAACTAGACCGTACCACACCTGCAGACAATCTCAGGCACCATCCATCCGTGGGTTAACTTGGTGTAAGTTGGACCTTCATGAGCTTAGTCATACTCTCGACACCTACAGGCTTCATATTGGACTTCAATTATTTTTAGTTGGATCATAACCTTAGCTTTGATACTACTATTAGATCAAAAAACAAAACTGATTAATATAATATATGTATGTGGGGAGAAAGATGGGGAGAAGCAAATGAATTTTTCAGTATTCTCATATTACCTTCTCTCATGCTACCCAGATTCTCTTATTCACAAGAAGCTTCATCTAAGATTTATTATTATTACAAACAAAAATGGGTTTTCTTTACAATAATTGGCATCAATATAGACAAAAAAAAAGAATAACAAAGCCCTATATTCTTAATTACAGACTGTTGAAAATATGCCTCAAAACCCTTCATGAATTTTTATTAGCCATTAACCCTCGTGCCACTTCTAGCAGCGTGTGCTCTAAATCCCATTGGATATGGAATATAATACTATCAATTGAGTCTTAATAATATTAGGACTTAGGTGTGTTTGCAGACTCTGTATTAGCAGTCTCTTTTTATGTTTATGAATGGCTAGGATTTAACCCATGATTATGGGGTTAATTGATAGGGTTTTGCTATTAGTAAAATACCTTTTCTTTTGTTTTCAGCCATCATTGTGTCTGTGAAAAGAAAAGAACAGACATTGAGCTTGAAGTTTGAGGGTTCAAGCTTTTGGCATTTGTGAGTTCTTGTACTCTTTTCTCTTTTCTATAGTAAAATTTATCTGACGTCTCTGTCGTGGACGTAGCCCAAAAAAGTTGAACCACGTAAATTTATGTTTGTGATTGCATGTCATTTATTCTTGTGCTTGTTCTTCACAACTATTTTTGCTCGATTGTGCACGTGTTCTAACAAATTGGTATTAGAGCTCCGGTTTCGATTTGTTTTATGCACATAGAAGATGCTTGCGAAATACAAGATTGAGAAGTTCGAACCGTGATGTCAATCTCGGTCTTTGACAAGTGAAGATGCGGGCTATCTTGTTTTAACAATGATTATAGAAGGCTTTGTCGGGGAAAGAGAATATGCCAACATCGATGACAGATGATGAAAATTTTCGAGATGGATGAAAAGGCATTAATTTCAATCCAATCGTGTTTGTCGAACAAGGTTCTTCAAGAAGTCGTGTGCAAGAAGACCGCAGCAGGCTTAGGGCTCAAATTGAAATCTATTTACATGATGGAGACGCTCGCCAACTGACTGCACTTAAAACAAAGATTGTTTATGCTTCACATGATGGAAGATATATCTATTAAATCACATTTTGGTGAATTTAATTCTATTATTATGGAATTGGAGAATGCAGATGTAAAAGTAAAAGATGAAGATCAAGGCTTTGTTACTGTTATGTTCGTTACCGCCTCCTTACAAGAACTTTTGGAAAACTATGATATATGGTAAAGAATCTATCTCGATGGAAGATGTGAAATCATCTTTATTCGCAAAAGAGTTGATGGACGAAGACTTGACCGGATCCAGTGATGGTAAAGTCAAAGCCCTACACGTTCAAGGCAAAAACATAGTGTGGATCTAACAGTAAAATCAAGTCGAGATCAAAGTCAAAGACTAAAAGCAAATTATATAACTGATGCAAGAAGAAAGGGCATGTCATGAATGGGTGTTGGAAGTTTTAGAAAAAAGATAAGAAGAAAAATCACAGCAAAGAAGATTCCACAGGGATTAGCATTGTCGAGGATGATGATGGTTTTGTTCTCTTAGCTATAAATTCAGGCAAATCCAAGGATGCTTGGATTTTAGACTCCAGATGTACTTATCACATGTGCCCCAATAGAAATTAGTTTTCCACCTATAAATCAATTGAAGATGGAGTTGTGCTTATGGGAAATGATTCTCATTGTAAAGTAATTGACATTGGTACAATTAAATTTAAAATGCATGATGATATTGTGAGAACATTGTCAGATGTTTGTCATGTTCCAGATTTGACGAAGAATCTCATCTCTCTAAGCACTTTTGAAGCTAACGGTGCAAGTATTTAGTCGAAGGTGGAATTTTCATAGTTTCTAGAGGTTCCTTAGCTACCATGAAGACAAAAAGATCACGAAATCTCTATATCTTGCAAGGAAAGATGATTACAGGTGCTACTGCTATTACTACATCGTCATTATCTGAGACTGATACGAGTTGCCGTGCGAGCACCCTTTGGTCGCGGAATTACCAAAGGATGGGTTGAGAAGAAGACAACTAAAACACAAGAACAATTCAGTATGACGAAGAAAAATACATTCTCTAGATTATGAAGAATCAACTATTACAAATCTCTCCCTCACAATCTCACTAGAATCGAGAATAACCTCTCAATCCTCTCTAAACCCTAATACAATGATTAGAATCTCTCTTAATTTCCTCTCTGATTAATCTAAACCCTAATCCTTTTGATTAGGATCTCACTTAGACCTAAAACCCTTTAGATCTACATCTGACCTCTCCTCCTTGTTTAGAACCCTAAACAATCCCTATTTATAGGGTTTACAACAGGTGGCAATCTGGTAAATAATCAAAACCAAACCCAGCTAGGATTCCTTCAAAACAGAAACCAAGTTTGCTTAGGAAACCTCGATGAGCCGACTCAAAACTACATATGAGTCGACTCATGACTGATGAGTCGACTCATAAACTGATAAGTCGACCGAGCAGAAACTTTTAACAAAACGACTGGGTTTCGTTAGTCGACTCATGACAGGCATAAGTCGACTCAACCTGATGAGTCGACTCATGTTCATGTATGAGTCGACTCACGAGCTGAAAACTGGATTCTTCGAATCTGCTGCTCGTCGTCTCGTTCCACGCTCCATCCTGTGCTCCGTCGTGTCGCTTCACACCATTATTCTCACGATATCATGAGAATCACCTATCCTCAAGCTCCCATGAGAATCGTTTTTCCGAAGAAAAGATATACCCGTATTTGGGTCCCCCCTTTAGAAAACTTGAAGTCCCATTCAAGTTAGAATTTCACCTGAGGAAACTCTCGGGCCCCTCCATCTTTGTTGACTTCAGTCATCTTCTTCTTCCTTAATCTCTGAACTCCTTCCAAAGAAAATAAGGATCTCGCCAAGCTTCTTGTATTGCGATCGAGTCAGGACCATACACAGGATGTCCTTTTACCGGATCTGATCGTTCTGATACCAACTTGATACGAGTTGTCGTACGAGCACCCTTTGGTCGCGGAATTACCAAAGGGTGGGTTGAGAAGAAGACAACTAAAACACAAGAATAATTCAGTATGACGAAGGAAAATACCTTCTCTAGATTATGAAGAATCAACTATACAAATCTCTCCCTCACAATCTCACTAGAATCGAGAACAACCTCTCAATCCTCTCTAAACCCTAATACAATGATTAGAATCTCTCTTAATTTCCTCTCTGATTAATCTAAACCCTAATCCTTTTGATTAGGATCTCACTTAGACCTAAAACCCTTTAGATCTACATCTGGCCTCTCCTCCTTGTTTGGAACCCTAAACAATCTCTATTTATAGGGTTTACAACGTGATGGCAATCTGGTAAATAACCAAAACCAAACCCAGCTAGGATTCCTTCAAAACAAAAACCAAGTCTGCCCAGGAAACCTCGATGAGTCGACTCAAAACTGCATATGAGTCAACTCATGACTGATGAGTCGACTCATAAACTGATGAGTCGACCGAGTAGAAACTTTTGACAAAACGACTGGGTTTCGTGAGTCGACTCTTGACAGGCATGAGTCGACTCAACCTAATGAGTCAACTCATGTTCATGTATGAGTCGACTCACGAGCTGAAAACTGGATTCTTCGAATCTGCTGCTCGTCGTCTCGTTCCACGCTCCATCCTGTGCTCCGCTGTGTCGCTTCACACCATTATTCTCAAAATATCATGAGAATCACCTATCCTCAAGCTCCCATAAGGATCGTCTTTCCGAAGAGAAGATATACCCGTATCAGAGACCGATGCCACCAAGTTGGGGCACATGAGATTGGGTCATTAAGCGAGAGGGGCATGACTATACTCAACGCGAGGGGACTTCTTTATGGTCAGAGTACAGAAAAAAGTATTTTTGTAAGCATTGCGTGCTTGGCAAGTAAAAGTATGTCAGTTTCAGTATAGTTGTGCATTGAACCAAAAACACTTGGATTATATCCATTCTGATTTGTAGGGTCCCTCGCGCGTTCTTTCGAAGGGCAGTGTTAGATATATGTCGACATTCATCAATAACTACTCAAGAAAAATTTTAGTTTATATGCTAAAAAGCACGGATGAAATGTTCAAGTATTTAAAGCAGCGGAAAACATTGATTGAGAAGCAGATTGACGAAAAAATTAAGAAGCTAAGAATCCACAATGGATTGAAATTTTGCTCCTCCAAGTTTCATGAATTCTACAAAGATGAGGGTATAGTTAGATATTGGACCATGTGACACACCACAATGAAGCGACGTTGCAGAATGAGTGAATTTGAGAGAACTCGACGCATGTTGAAAGATTTTTAGGCTGAAGCAGTGTATATAGCGTGTTACTTGGTGAATAGTTCTTCATCCACATCCATTGATTGCAAGACACCAAAAGACGTATGGTTTGACTATCCTGGTGATTATTCTAATTTAAAAGTATATGATTGTCCTGCATATGCACATGTAGATCAAGGTAAATTAGAACCTAGATCTAAAAATACATTTTTATTCATTATGCCTCTAGGATGAAGGGATATAGGTTGTGATGCCCTAATCTTAGATCACCTAAACTCATGATTGAGAAAAATGTAATATTTCATGAGTCTGCTCTGGTTCTTCCAAAAAAGATAATGTTATTGTTCTTACTGATACAGGTACTACACATAAGAGTACTGAAGAGAAGGTGGAGTTGGAAACGGATTCTCATAATTCAATTCAACAATCAGTTATTGGTTAGCCTAAAAGTAATGAAGAAACACAAATTAGAGCAGAAGATGATGCTTATAGTATTGCAAAAGGCAACGGAAAGAGATTGATTACACCACATTAGAGATATGCAGATTCAGTTATTGCATATGCATTGTTAGCAGATCAAGAGATATGTGATGCAGGAGAACCGAACAGTTTTTTAGAAACCACTCATCATAAGACTCTGCAAATTGGTTGATTGCTATGAATGAGATGAAATCTCTTCATAAAAATTAGACTTGGGATTTGGTAGTTCCTTCGAAAGGATTAGGCTATAAGTGGGTGTTCAAGAAAAAGAAAGGCAATACAATGATATTTTCTCACTTGTAATTAAACATACTTCCATTCATATTTTATTATCACTAGTTCCAGTATATGACTTGGAGTTAGAGAAACTAGATGTTAAAATAGCTTTCTTGCATGGTGAACTTAAAGAACAGATTTTTATGCAACAACCTGAAGGGTCTGTAATTGAAGGAAGAGAAGATCATGTTTATTTGCTAAAAAAAACTCTATACGGTTTGAAGCAATCTCCTCATCAATGGTAGAGAAAATTTGATTCTTTCATGATCAGTCATCGGTTCAGTAGGAGCAAATATGATGCTCGTATTTACTTGAGGAGATTGAATGATGATTCTTTCATTTACCTGTTATTGTATGTCAACGATATGTTGATCTTAACTAAGGATATATCTAACGTGAATAGTTTTAAAGATTCTACTTGGTGTAGAATTTGAGATGAAGGACTTGGCAAAGTCCTCAGAAAAGCTACATTGAGAAAGTCCTCACTTGCTTTAATATGCATAAATCAAAATCGGTTACCACTTCTCTTGTAACACCTTTCAGGCTATTAGAATTATTATCACCTAGCACAGATGCAGATCATGACTACATGTCTCAGGTACCTTATGTGAGTACAGTTAAGAACATCATATATGCGATGGTACGTACTCGATCGGATCTTTCACAAACAATCGGTGTTGTTAGTAAGTATATGGCAAATCCCGAAAGCATAGCTTCGTTATTCCCTGCACCCCTCCTCGTACTATCGTATAATTCATGCGAATAGATTTCTAATACATTTACGAACCGATTCCCTCTGATAGACAAATTGGTTCCCTAAAATTAGCATACCACTTACAAAGTATGTGGGGATCAAAGTTGATTTACAAGTCCGTTTTCATGCACAAGCACAAGGACTTTGTCTCAGCCCATTAGTAGCTTTCTAGCTGAGACAAATTGGACTACTTCCTACATATATAGTGTGAAAAGCTATTGTTACGATTTTATGAGAATTACAAAATCGGTCCATAGAAAGGATAAGATATTGATTCCAATAATGATAACTTGGAGGTCACTTCAAGTAAGTTGGAGGAGCTTAGGTGGAATTGTTTGAACTCAGAATTAGTAGAAGACGCACTTGATGTTAATGAGAAGAAAGTTAGAAAATAGAAAAAAATTATTAAGAGGCTATCTAATATTTAATGTTTTAGTCTTATGTATTCAAAAATTTTAAAAATAAAGTATTGAAGTATTTTATATAAAAAATATTGAAATGCATAATAAGTTTTTTAGTTTCTAATTTTCTACTATACACTTTGAAAAATATTAAGTGTACCCAAAAAAATTACATTGTATCATGTATCGAACTTGCGCACCGAAATAAGCTACCCCCTGCTGAATCCAAAATTTAAAGTCTCGAATTGCGTACCTGAATTCATACGACGACCCGCTACGTATCACAAACCATATAAGTATGACCGGAAGAGAGCACTGGCTAGCACTAAAATGGGTCCTTATATACTTGAAGGGAAGTTTGGGTGTTAGCTCGGTATTTGGTGGAGATAGTGGCATAATTGCATTGCTACCAAATATGTTGATTTAGATTTCGCGAGTGATTTGAATAAACATAGATCAACTACATGTTATGTTTTTACTCTTGCCGGAGGTTCTATTTGTTGGAGATCAATGCTACAACCTACTATTGCTTTGTCTACTGCAGAGGCGGAGTTCATAGCGACTACAGAAGCTATGAAGGAAGCACTATAGTTAAGAGATTTTCTTGGTGAATTGGCAGTTGAGCAGAATTATACTCTTGTTCATTGTGATAGTCGAAGTGTTATTCATTTGGCTAAGCATCCAATATTCAATTCAAAATCAAAGCACCTTGAGGCTCAATATCACTTCATTAGAGAGATTGCTGAGGAAGGTAAAATAATCCATCAGATACATTGACGAAGGCAGTTATCGGTAGCCAAGTTCAAAATCTGCTTGGACTTGCTTCATGTCCAAGAACATTGAAGCCTCGTAGGGCACATTTGCAAGCAGTATACTGTTGAGAAAGTCGAGAACTTATTCGGGTTGTTGAGTCTTGGTGGAGATTTGTTAAAAATATGCCTCAAAACCCTTCATGAATTCCTATTTGCTATCAACCCTTGTGCCGCTTGTGATGTGCTCTAAATCCCATTGGATGTGGGATATGATACTATAAATTGAGTCTCAATAATATTAGGACTCAGGTACTTGTGCGGACTCTGTACAAGTCCGGGCTCAGGAATAAAGTATTAGCTGCTCTCCTTTTATGTTTTTGAATGGCTAGGATTTAACCCATGATTAAGTGGTTAATTGATAGAGCTTTGCTATTAGTAAAATAAAATTCCAATTCTTTTGTTTTCAGCCATCATTGTCTCTGTGAAAAGAAAAGAACAGAGAGAGAGAGAGAGAGAGAGAGCGTTTGAAGTTTGAGGGTTCAAGCTTTCGGACTTTGTGAGTTTTTGTACTCTTTTCTCTTCGCAATTATTTACGCTTGATTATGCACGTATTCTAACCCAGACACTTCTCCAACATGAAAATTGATATAAAGAACTTATTTTGATTTGAACAATATAATCATTTAAACAAAAGTACCAGAGTCTCCCATCTCCTGCGAGCAGCAGCCATCTCTTTCGCCTGTTTCACCTCCTCCTCTTCATCCCCAGCAACGGCCCTTACTATAATAGCAGACTTCAACTTCTGTATCCATTAAAAAAACAGGAAAAAAACCCACAAACCAATTTTAAAACTAGATACCCATTACTGAAAAACGATTAAAAATAAGAGATAAGAGAGACCCACATGAGGATTTATGAGAAAGCTCCTTCCATGGTTGCTGATGGCCAAGTAATTTGCGCTCTGACACAGCGAATTGAGTGAGGACAGGGGCAGAGAGTTGGGGAGATGAAGCCCAAGAGTTTCCATAATTTTATGGAGGGAGGAATTGGACCGCTCAAAAGAGTAGCCTTCCTCTGTGGGGAGCAGAAGCGTGACTTACGCTGGGAGGCTTTATCTTCTGTTTACTCTTTATTATTTGTTTATTTATCGGATTTTCCCCTCGTACACAATTTGGACAAAGTTTCAAAACCAAACCCTTTCAACATTTAATCCCAAAAACCGAACTCTTTTGCATTTAATTTCAAAAACCGATCTGGTTTTAGTCTTGGCACTGAAACCACGTCGGCTTTTGAAAAAAAAATTCTGAAACTTCACGGGAGTTGAACTCCCGTGAAGTTTAGCAGAATTTTAACAATCTGCTAAAACTTCACGGGTGTTCAACTCCTGTGAAGTTTTATTAGTTAAACAAACTTTACAGGAGTTAAACTCACGTCAAGTTGTATTTGTTTATCAAACTTCACGGGAGTTCAACTCCCGTGAAGCTTGTAACATGCTAAAAACTCCACGGGAGTTGAACTCTCGTGGAGTTTCAGCCCATTTTCCAGAGAGTCAACTCTCGGAAAATTTTTGACTGCAACTCCACGGGAGTTCAACTCCCATGGAGTTGCAGGTTCCACAAACCATGCACAGCAGCATGTGCATGTTCTGTACGTAAAGTACCTCATATACGTTATATTTACCTGTTAACAATAATTGATCTCATATACACTGAATTACAACAATATATACATAATTCAACCATGAATTAAACACAAATCAAACAATACTCACAAAGAGTACATATATAAACAATAATTGATCCACAAAAGTATAGTATTTGAAAATTCATAAAAGTTACAAATTTTAACAAAATAAGCTCACATACGACCCAAAATAGCTCATCTCCTTCCTCTCCCTCTCTTCCCCTTCCACCTCGCTCTTCCATGCCCCCTACGTTCCTTGAGCCTCGATTATCTGAGTATCCGGTTGTGTATGAGGCTGCGAAGTGTCAGCTCCATTAGCATGCGAAGTGTCAGCTCCATCAGCATGCGAAGTGCCGGCTTCGTCGTCACGTGGCCGTCGTTGTCGCGTGTACGCTTGCCCAAATGATCGAGACCTATCCTCATGGCCTGCAAACTCGTCGACATGAGTCTTATAAAACACCTGTGCTATTGTCTTCTTGATCCCGCTGAAGACTCCTAACGCCACCGAATCTTGAATCTCAGGCATGTGCGCATCAATATCAGCTTCAATGCTATCAAAAGCACGGACCTGTGAGGTAAATAATTTATTAAGTACCATCTCAATAAAAAAATGTTATAATTTAGCTTAGAAACTTACATAATCTCTCTCAATCATCCCACTAGGGATGTAACTATCTGTCGATGGGCGTGGCATGTGTCCAGCTGATGCCTGTGGGTCACGTGTGATCCATCTACGTGTGATATCCCTATACCAACGCATATACATGGTATAGTCAATAGCTGTATCTCTTGTATCCTGTATGAAATCTCACATGTGAGTCCACCTGTCTATGTAGGCCACACGGACTACAGCCCAGTCGGTATAATGCGATATAGGTCATTGCCGATGATCGATATGCTCGACAGGCTCTGGTACATGCTGAGAGAGCAGAAATTATCGTAGCACAAGGTCAGGGACATGCATCTCTACAATCTCCCAACAGATCAATAGAACTCTAGCTCCCCACAAGTCGGGACTATCTCGATAGATAGGTACAAGAGTATGCATATCGAGCTCCGGTGGTAAATAAGGTCTCCACTTGAACTGAAATAAGATAAAAAACATTTATCAGTATCAATAACAAAACTATAATATTCATAACGACATCGAGTTTTATATTTACATGTTCGTGTTGGAGGACATCAAGCTCATTTCGGTAAAACTCACGATGTCGCGTCGCTGATTTGTAGTTAGCATACTGCACGTTATACCTATTTGGCATAAAGAATATATGAGTTCAAATTTAGTTCAATAAAATTGTATGGACAATTATACCTGTATGCCAAAGGAAACTGTCCCTGTAAGTCACGGTGCACAAGCAAAGTCGGTCTGCCAACATGAGTGCGCTCTCATGACCAAATCTGGATCAACGTGTAGCATCCCTTGAATTCTTTATTCTGCATTAAGAATACTCTACCCAATTCTCTATACAAGTATGCCAACACCGTACTGCCCCACGATAGTGCGCCGCATACACTAAAATCCTCCAGCAGTGGCAACCATCGTGAATGTACAAGAGTCTTGCTCGCACCAAGGAATAGCATGCACCCTATCATGTGCAGTATGTATGCACGAGCATGAAACTCAAGCGTCTCAATGGAGGCATCTGCTGGTATATCTCCCTGAAATGTCTGACGAAGCCACGATAGCTTCATCGCACCACTCCTCAAGTCGGGAACCTGACCAAGAAGCCTAGCACATACCTCAACCCAATTATGGTCATCGGTGCCCATAATTGTCGGGCCATCGATGCGGAGCCCAAGTATGACGGCTACGTCCTATAAGGTGATGGTACACTCCCCTGTATACATATGAAAGGTGTTGGTCTCTGGCCTCCACCTCTTAATCAGTACAGTGATAAGCGGCCAATCAAGCCTAATATATCACACTGTCGAACACTCCCAGAACCGGGCCTGAGCTATCAACTGTAGTACTCTCTCATCTTCAATGACCCAAGCTGAATGACTCTGGGAATGATCGACCATGGTGATGTCTGGTACGGGCTGTACGTCAAACAAAATTGATTAAGTATATTGAGAAAAATTAAAATTAGTGTCAATGCTAAGGAATATATATACCAAAAACGTTTTACCTATCCTAATCTAATATGGTATGAACAATGACTCGCCTGGAGGTACAAAACATCGGGATGTATCGGTCCCGAATCCATAATGAATATATTTGAGATTAAAATATTAGAGGACAATGTACAATGTGTTAGATATTTTAGTTGAATGACTGACTTAGTCATATATATAAAAACATATTACAACAAACGAATGCGCAATGTGAAGAAGGAATAATTTGAAACCAAACATTATAATTAGATCCCAAACATAGTACGAAACGCTACAAATTACAATTACGAATGTCATACGGAAACAAACACAGTACGAAACGCTACAAATTACAAATCAACGCCTAATCCTAGTTGGACAACTGTTTTTGTTGTGACCCGGTTGATCGCATCTACTGCACTTATTGTAGACGGTAAAAATTACCTTAGCAGATAAACATGAAATCCGCCTGCGTATTCAAGTTGCCCGCACGAATTGAAAATAGGGCTAACCCGCGTACTTGACTCGCCAACATGAGCCAAGACCACGCGATCACCAAATTCGCCCACATTTGGCGATCACAGATTCACCTGTATGTTTGACTCGTCCGCACGAGTCAACATCATCCAAGTGACTGAAATCCGCCTGCTTACTTGGTTCGCATGCACGAGCCAAGAGTCGAACTCGCCTATAAACGGCAAACTCGCTAAACCCGCCAGAGTACTTGGCAGCTGCTATACCACGTATAGGGAAGGGCCTTCCCACTTCCCACGACGTGAAGGGAAGGAGCACAGTACTCCGAGCCCATCATGTAGCCGCTCGCAGTACGAGTGATTGGTCAAATCCATGCAATCGCCAAGTCCGTCTGCATGAAGCTCGCCTCGCCTGCACGAGTCAAGAGCTAAACTCGCCTACGATCAGTAAGCTCGCCGAACTAGCCAGAGTACCTGACAGCCATAGTATCACGCGTACAAGGATGGGCCTTCCCGCTCCCGCGATGTGAAAGAGAGAGGGTACAGTGTTTCGAGCCACTCAAACGGCCGCTCACAGTACTGTTTTTGTCAAAAGTTGTCTTTTCCATTGTTTTCAAACATGTTACACCGTTTATCGATTACAAGTTCAAACTGAAAGAAAAGTTTATCTTTTTATAAGATCTTCTTACAACGAAAAATAAAGATTACAACTTTATCAAACAAAACGCAACAGTAGTTTATCTCCCGCTGCTTTGCGTGGGATCTTTGCCTGTGTCGGGGATGCGTTAGTCGGTGGACCACTGCAGATCAAACCCGATTGACAATATAACTACGCTCTTGTTTCACAAAGGAAACAATTGCGGAAGCGACAATCATGACCAAGCGAGATTGTGGCTCTTCTCGAGATTAAAACCAAGTTTAATCCGGAGGAAAGAAGGGGAAAGAATCACAAACCTTTTGAAGGGCTTTCTTTATGAAAGTGTTCGCCAAGATCTGATGATTCTCCTCTGAAATTCGTGGTTAGATGGACAATTTGACAGCACCTTGCCTTCTCAACTTCAGATCTCCGATCCCCTTGAAAGAAGACCATAGGCTTCTATTTATAGGCCTTTGGAGACGTCCTTTTGGATTAGGATTATTGTTTAAACGTTATCTACAGTTAATAACCACTTAAACGCGTCTAGGGATAACCTTAAAATAGTTGGGGAGGTCCTGGGACGAAAGAATCCTTAAAAATCATCGAAATCCGTGTTTTGGGAGGTTTGGAGGTCAAGAGGAGTCCTGGTGACTCAGAAATGTGCGAGTCAGCTTCTGGTGATTGTGAGTCACCATTTGGTGGCTCGCAGGGGTGCGAGCCACCATTTGGTGGCTTGCGCTTACGCGAGCTTTCGAGTGGTGTTTTTTTTGTCTTTTTAACATTTTGGCGATTTGTAACCCCTCGAGTTTGCTTGTTTTGCGTACGGTTTATCGTTTCGCTGACTTGCACATTTTACTGATCCACTTCGTACGCTTACTCGTATTGGATAAATTCCCTTGACTTAGATAATAACGTTTATCGTCTCCTCCTTATTTTGAACTGTGTTCAGAGACCTATTGGCAATTTTTGACGCCTACAAGTACAAGTGAGAAGTATGGTATCTCCCAACAGTACATGGTCATATCTCATGATTCAAGGAGTGACCACGCCGTCTCTCCTCTATTTAAGAACCTCTCCTGGCTACAGAAAGGAGGTTCAGTTGGCTCATAGTTAATTGATTAACTCAATCAGTTAGCTGAACCACAGCTCTCAACTCTCGACGGAGTTGACGACAAGCTCTTTGCATGACCTTTGCACCGTAGCATCCTCTCCTAGCTTCGGGCCC